GCCAATGTGCTTCTGGATGAAGGGTTTGGACACCGCCTTCCAAAACTTGGTTGCTGTGGCAGCATAGCTGGAAGATTGTGGATCCAGCCAAGGAAACTTGAGATTTTCCGAGTGAATGACAGTGAATTGCTGGTCCACTGATCCCAGTGATGACCTGACCTCGTCCCCACTGCGAACATACGTAGGGAAATTGAAGGTATCCAAGCTTTCCTGGCTCAGAAGCCCCTGGCCACCGTTGACCGAGTCAGCATATGTGTTGACTAAACAGACACAGACACAGACACAGAGAGAGAGAGAGAGAGAGAGAGAGAGAGAGAGAGAGAGAGAGAGAGAGCGCTTTACCTCTTGGATGAGATCCTTCCACACTGATTGTAAGGAGAAATCGTCCTCGTTGAGCTCGTGGGAGAGTCTTATGGGAAACATCAAGAGGAGGATGCCTCCGGTGACTAATTCTTGGGCCCGGCTATGGAGGAAGATGGAGAGATCGTCGCTGGCTTGCTGGGCAAAGGCTTCGATTGCCGCGGGTGGCGAGGATCTGGAGACAAACATGCAGTCTCTGTTCCAAGCTGGCGAATTCCTGTCCGTGATCGACTCTGGAATCTATGCGCAGAGGTTTGAGCCTGTTTAGAGAGGTCGATTGGGCGAGAACTGACCTTGGAGAGGTAATGCAGTGCGTAGTTCGTCATTGCAAAGTGGATAGAGGAACGAGGAAAGAGCCTGCGATAGAACGACCCGGGAACCCCACTAAAGAAGTATGGCTCACCTTGGGGATGTGGGACTAGAGCGAAGAGAGTGTTGAAGTCATTGACTGCCAGATCCGAGAAGATGGCCTGGATCTCCAGAGGTTTTCGATCGCCCACTTGCTCTCGCAGCCGGATTATCTCTCGGGCCACGAAGTCCAAGGCCTGGATCGTGTTGGAGCCGTGGGAACATCCCAAGTCGGCAATTCGAATCACATCCAAGGAGGAATCGAGGAAGAGGGGAGCACTGCTCGCGATGGCTTGCTCGATTGCGGCGTGGGCGCTGCTGAATCCTTGGGCCTGAAGACCGGAATTGCGATGGTAGCTATCCTTTCCAGAGCCGCCTTCCATCGCTTGGGGCTAGATTGCCAATTATAGCCGTCAGTTTCTGGATAAGGTAAGAGCAGCCTATGGTTAAACACCATCCTGATTCACTCTCTCTCCGCTTACTTGGCAATGACGTGGCATCAGCCCTCTTTTTTGTTTTATCTCCAGCGCACTCCCTCTCCCGTCCGTCGCCGCTGCACACTCCCGCTCGCGGCTATCGCCCGCCCGCTCGCCCTCACGGCTCCCGCCCGCACTCCCACCCGCCCCCGCCCCCCATTGACTGCCAGATCCGAGAAGATGGCCTGGATCCATGGCCTGGATCCACGTGGAAGTAATTTTAGGAATCATTTAGGATCCCCCATGGCTTGATGAGGTGCAAGAATTCCATGAAAAGGATTATTTTTGTGCAGATGATTTAGATTGGAATTTGTCTAAATCAAATGAAACTATAGCTCCTATTGTGTATATATTCTAGAAGGATGTGAATAAGTTTCTAAATGGTGAGAGGAGAAGGGGTGATGGAGTGGATTTTTGGCGATTTTCTAACAAAAATCGTAATCTTGAAGATTTGAAACAACCCAAAAACACAAGCTTTTTATCATTAATCAGGTATATCTTTTTAACAAAATATAATTACTAACTTCATGCTACAGGTATTGGTGTGAATATGGAAAACAAGATGCTCGTGAAACATCCTCTATTATGGTTGCTGAATCTACACCAAAGTTAGGATTTGGAAGTAGACCAGGTCGAAGTTCTAATAAGCGGGGCTGCCTTTGCAATTTTTTGGTCAAACAGTTTTACAAATGGCCTGATTATGTGCAGATTACATATTATCATAGAGAACATTGTGATAAGAATGGGATTCCTTGTTATGGTCAACTTGATCTGACTGGAGGAAAGTCATTATTTCCTCAGAAGCTTTCAGCAGATATTCGATATTGGGTGATTCATATGATTTAGCAGGATTTCACATCAAATCAGATTTATAATGAGCATATACAGATTGTGGAAAGGAACAAGTCAGCTGGTGAACCTCCTCATCGAGATGATTTTCTAACTATGCAGAATATCTACAATTTGCATAGGAAGTATTTGCTTTCAACTTATCGATTACATGAGAATGACGCACAGAGTGTACGTATTTGGAAGAACACAAATCCCGAGAAAGTATTTTTCTATCAGGAAGGTGATCGAGGTAAAGATTGTTTTACTATTGGGATCCAGACAACTTGGCAACTACAAAAGATGGTGGACTTTTCAAATAATAATTTATTGAGTCTTGATGCAACTTTTGGAACTAATCGCTATAAGGTAATATTTTCATTCAGTTTTAAGTGATTAATACTTAATAATTTACAGTTCCCATTATACACCATGCTTGCTTTTGATTATCATGGAAATGGTATTCCAATTACATGGGTTTTAACTTCTAGTGAGAAAGGAGAACATATGAAGAATTGGATGATAGCTCTTAAAAAATGAGTTTTAGAACACATGCCAAATTGGAAACCACGGGCGGTACTGATTGATGATGCTGAAGCAGAGATTAATGCTATAAGGTAATTAATTTGATATGAAATAATTTAATTGTTTTCTTCTATATAGAGCTACATTTGATTGTCAAATTCTATTATGTATTTGGCATGTAAGGAGGAATTGGCTCAAACATATTATTCGTAAGGTGAAATCTTGGGATATTAGGATGGAAATATGGAAACGTCTCGGAGATATTATGTATCATTCAATTCATGCAACTTTTCATGATGATAATATTATGCGAGCTGAGATTAAACAACTTATTGAACATTTTGAGGGGGATTTTCAAAATGAAGTAGCCTTTATCAAGTATTTTCAAGACGAATGGAAGGACAAAGTTGGTAAGTGAATCAATAATTTAATTTTTATAATTTATTTTAATTTATATTTGATAGATATGTGGGTTGTTGCTGCTCGAAATTTCCCTCATGCTAACAAGGAAACAAATAGTTCGATTGAGGCATTCCATGCAAATATGAAAGCTATACTCTCATCCGATAAAAAACATGCTCGCAATCGAAGGATGGATTGGGCAATTCATCAACTTACTACTAAGGTTCATGCGAGATACTAGTTTACTACTTATTGCAAAAATCATGGTTTTATCCGAAACTATGCATATGAAAAGCTAATCGATGGTGCGATTGTTAAAGCAAGAAATATTAACGACTCTTAAGTAAAATTCGATAAGGACAATACTCATAAATCTTATGTATAATCCTCTTCAGATATAACTATATAGTATCTTGTTGTTGGAGGTGAAGGACACAGTGATTGGGCTTTTTCGACTTGGTGTAATTGTCCATGGGCAATTAAAGGAAACTTTTGCAAGCATCAAGCAAAAGTTATTATGTTAAAACAAGGAGAAAAAACCGATTGGACTACAACTAGTTATAAAGTTCAACCATCACAATCGCATGCAATCTTAGAACCTGGGCTAGATGATTTATCTTATCGTCATCAAGATTTTGAAGCACTTGACTTGGAAGCTATGACAAAGGTAATTCACTTATTAATTAAAATTTTGAAATACTTATAAAAATTTGAGCAAGAAAACATCCATCAAGATGTTTATCATGAGCAAGAAATTCAGTTGGAGACTACATTAGAAGTAAAATAACATATTTTATATACTAATATATATGAATATTGAGCAGGAAGATATCCATCAAAATATACAGCATCAACAAGAAATTCAGCTAAGGACTACTATAGAAGTAATTTACACTAAGTAAATTTTAAATATTGACATGAACTTTAAGCAGGAAGATATCACTCCATCAAAAGTTACAAAAACGACATTACAACAAAAGATGATGGATATCTTACAAGATCTTCCTGATGAAGAAGCTTTTTTATCTATGGTTGACAACGATTTAGAAATGATACAGTAGAAGGTTGCAACTTTTAAAGCCAAGCCAGATGATTTTATTCATTCTGCAGTAGAATTTCAACAGCGTGTTGATAGTTATGGTACATCCTTGAAGCGAGCAAAACCTTTAGTGGAAAGAATTACAGGTAAAAGAAAAGCTTCTAGTAGTCTAGAAGCAACTCCTTTTACTAGGTAGAGGAAGACAAGAAAGAAAAGCTCTTTAAATGAAAAACTCAATCTTAGCAAAGAATAAATAAAAAAACAAACTCTTTATATACTTACATTGCATATATTTAAATTAGTGAGAAGATTTCATAAATTTACCACTCCTAATGGTCATCCATGACACTCATTGGCCACAAGCACGTCCACGCGCGCGCTGATTGAAAGTGTTGGGGCGGGAGCCGTGAGGGCGGGC